GAAGACAATCAGGACCCCTGCTCCTCACACACAGAGACCTGCCCTGAGACCCCCGCAGCCCAGTGAAGACGATCAGGACCCCTGCTCCTCACACACAGACACCTGCCCTGAGACCCCCCACAGCCCAGTGAAGACAAGGAAACAGCGGCCCCACCTCAGTTCACAGTCTGTACCACAGGGCTCAGTAATGGGTCCTGGCTTGGGCAGGCGATCACATCTTTGGTCAGAAACTGTAAGCTGATCCGATTCCCTGGTGCAAACAAGTTTTCTTTCCCGCTCCCCTAAATAGGAAGGAAAAACAAAGTTATCCAAGGAAACTAACCTGCTCTATAAACTATTTAGACCAGGGATCAGCAGCTTTCTGTAAAGGACTGTAGAGTAAATATTCTGGGTTTTGCAAGCCAAACCATCGGTCACAGCTACTGAAGGCTGCCTCTACAGGGCAACAGCGGCCATAGAAGCGTAATAAACAAATGGTGTGACTGCTCCAATAAAGCTTTATTTACAAAAGCAGGAGGCGGCCTGGATTTGGCCCACTGGCTACAGTTCACCTATCCTTCGTTTAGACAAAAGAAATAACATGTAATACAACTACATGTATCCATATCTCAGGAAAAAGTAAAGTGGCAGAGGTGATTGTACACAGCTTATCCTGTGCATAAACCCCACAGGAGAAGGACACGTAGTATATCCTGAATCCCTTAAAAAGCTAAACTTGCCAGCCAAAAATGATCAAACAGATTCAGACGAAGGAGAATAGAGAATTCATGCCGACAGAAAAGTTTATAGATTGTGGAATCTGGCTGTCTCTCAAATACAGAAAGAAAGAAAGAAGAGAAAATCCCAAAACTCAACTCTAAAGCACACACCTTGGCAGGGTTTGCTGCACGCTTGCCAGGGCCCATGGCTATTCCAGTAGAACTGCTGAGGTTTGTCTTCAATTGGAATATTGAAGGTATAGCGCACATCAGGGTTATACAGCTTTCCCACCGACAACACCTGGAAGGAGCAGACAAAGTGGAGAGTGTTTGCATGCCTGGTGACACCCGGTGGAAGGAAAGGGTTGTGGCTCACGGCCGGGTTTTCACCTGAAGCAAAAGCTCCTGATCGATGCGATCTGTGGAGTTAATCCTTTCCACCACGTTGTCGGAGCCGCTGTATTCTATCACAGCATTCCCAACGCGGATTTCCCTTTTGGACATTGTGACCACAAAGTCTCCATTTAGCAAGAATTCTCCTTTACTGCTGGATAAAGCTGTAGAGGACAAAAGAGCATTCACTGATCTGCTGCCAATTCCTGTCTGTCTGAAATATGAAATAACACCTCAGTAGGCAGAGAGTTACAGCGCAAGGAACGTGGACGTCAGAGCCAGACAGACATGGGTTCGAAGCCCAGCCTGACCACGTGTCAGCTGTGTGACCTCGCTATCACTCCTATCTCCATCCCTTTAGCTCCAAAATGGGGATAAAAACACCTACCCCCATGGCGTCTGGAAAAATTAAGTGAAATAACACGGAATGAAATTGATGTTATGTGCTGTCAAGTCGATTCCGACCCATAGTTACCCTATATGACAGAGTAGAACTGCCTCACAGGATTTCCAAGGAGTGGCTGGTGGATTTGAACTGCTGACCTTTTGGTCAGCAGCCAAGCTTTTAACCACTGCACCACCAGGGCTCCTTGGAATGAAACAGGGGTCCTAATTATCAAGGAGCTTGTTATACAAGCCCAGTTACAGGATTATATACATGGGAGCAAAAGTCTTATAACTTGAAAATACATACTGATGAACTGACCGCTTACAAAATTGGTTCCCACACAAACATCCTTCCCTAATTTATATGAGAATTAGCTGAACCTACTGAATCTTTGACTGCTCTCTTTCTTTGACTTATGTTGAAATCTTGAAATACATGGCCAATGGGATGCTCAAATGTCACTTTTTCAATGGGTCCACTGCGTACCAGCCTCCAAGATGGCCCCAATGACCTTTGCCTCCTGGTATTCACACCTTTGTGTGGCTGGCCCCCTCCTATGCTGAGTAGGGCTGACCTGTAGAATCACCAAGATATTGCAGAAATGATAGCGTGTGACTTCCAAGGCCAGGTCAAAGGCATTGTGGCTCTGTCTTGCTCTCCCCTGAACCACTGGTGTTGGGAGAAGTCAGCTGCCATGCTGTGAGGATGCCCAAGCAGCCCCACAGAGAGGCACATGGGAGGAACTAAGGCCCCCTGCAAATGGCAGTGAGAGATTGAGGCTCTCTGCCAAGAGCCTTTGAGGGAGTCATCTTGGAAGTAGATCCTCCAGCCCCAGTGGGGCCTTCAGATGAGACCACAAACCCAACTGAATCTTGACTGCAGCCTCACGAGAAACTTTAGCCAGAACCACCCACCTATGCTGCTCCCAAATTCCTGACGCCAGAAACTGTGATAGCATATATTTGTTGTTTCACGTCACTGTATCTCGAGAGAATTTGAAACACAAGAGATGAATGCTAATAAACCAACTCTCCCCACTCCGTTAAAAACTGTTACTCCCTCCCACTGCCAGCACAGACTCCATCCCTTCCTATCTCAGCTTGATTTTTCTCCATAATAATTGGTTTACGCTCTGATTTCCCTAACAAGAATGTTAAGCCCCATGTGGGCAAGAAGTTCGGGACGGTTTTATTCACATTATATCCCAGCTTCTGGAAGAACATATGGTAAATGCTCAATAAATATTTTTTTGAAAGTATGAAGGAAATCTACAGCCAATTTTGCAAAGATGAAAGAATCAGTGAAGCAGAGAAAGTGATGGCGGAGAACTGTTTGAATGAAGCACCAGAATACTGGTCGACCGAGGATCTGACAGACGAGCTGCTGTCGAGTCACCTCCAACTCATGGTGCCCCCATGTGTGTCAGGGCAGAACTGTGCTCCAGAGGGTTATCAGTGGTTGATCTTCCAGAAGTAGACTGACAGGCCTTCCTCCCAAGGTGCCTCTGGGTGGACTCAAACCTCCAAACTTTCAGTTAGCAGCCAAGTGCATTAACCGTTGGCACCACCCAGGAACCCCTCTGACACAGACCGGTTAAAAACCAATGAAAAGGAAAGACAATTGACAAGGAGGATGAGACAACAGCTGCTTCAAAAAGAACGGTTTCTTTATCCAGGGGCCAAGAGAGGCTCCTGGGAAAGCTGAGAAAGCTCCAGAATGCTTACAAAATGGACTCCTTTCAGATTTTACTGTTAAATTCCAACCTGAAGTGAAGAAAGTACTACTACTCTGCTATTGTATGAGTTGACCGGAAAAATGATGCAAAAATATTTATCAATTGCTTTATTCTCCATCCCAAAAGCCTGGGTATGATCGAAATTAAAACCTAAATTTTGGTGAATGTAAGATAAAATAAGTTTTTCTTTCTTTTTTGATTAATTTCTCAAGATAAAATCCCAGTTATACCTTTTCCCCCTAGTATTTACTACACAATTTCCGTTTCACCTTAAGTACCACTCTGTCCCCCAGAACCACAGCTTCTGGAATGACAAGTCTGCCGACCACTGTGCCTGGCCTGAAGCAGGCACTCAGTGAATCAGAACTACAACACATTTGGGCCCTGAACGAAACGCTAGAGAAAGGCTCTCTCACCCTTTGCAGTCTGTGCACGACTGGTAAGTCTTAGCAGTGAGGGATTCCTTGAAACCCACAGGCTGTGTATTCAGGTGAAATAAGGAACAAGGACATTTAACTCACGGATGGCAAACAGGTTCCATCCCAGATGTCAATGTCAATCATCTGGGAGACTCTGCCCCAGAAGTTGTGTAGCGCAGGACTCATCGGCAGCGTCATGTCTCAGCAGCAATGAGTGTCATGACACATTAGTGATGTCTGTCACGGTCGGGGAGCGGGCAGTGGCCATGGCGTCTTACCTATCTGCCAGGGAGATTCTAACCTGCCCTTCAGTGATTTCCTCTGTACTCACTGTATAGACCAGAAACAATGTGTATGTGTGAGAGGTTTAAAGACTTAGGTAATTAGGTATTGTATCCTTACGTGGGGACTGAAGGGGGCTAAGACGACGCTCTGGTAGTCCTTGTGGTTCTGCAGCAGCAGATGTCCTTGTTTTCTTGGGCATGTTTCCTGAATGGACGCTATACTGACGCAGGGCTGCTCTTTCCAAACCAAACCAAACCCACTGCTGTCGAGTCAATTCCGACTCACAGTGACCCTACACGACAGAGGAGAACTGCCCCATAGGGTTTCCAAGGAGCAGCTGGTGGATCTGAACGGCCTATCTTTTGGTTAGCAGCCAAGCTCTTAACCACTGAGCCACCAGGGCTCCACTCTTCCCAGTATCAGGAATTAACTGCACTGAATTCTGTTCCTGATCCAGCACTTCACTTGCCAGAATTCCCACTACGTAAGGCCCATCTTGCCCCCAGTGGAAGAATAAAATGCCTTCTTTGAGACGGTTGGGAAGGGTGTGGTATCGCAGAAAAAAGCTCAGGGTTAGTGTTTAAAAACATAACACATCCTCCAACTTCTTGGCTCAGAATTCTTTGACAGCCTTTACTCTGTACAGAACATGGGTCAAACTCCTTAGCACAACCTCCCAATAACCTTACAAATCTTATCCTGACCTATCTTTCCAGACTCACCAATAAACTCCCACAGATAAACCTAAATCTCCAGCCATCCACGCCCCAGATCAGTCACGTATTGTTCTACATGGAGGCTGTAAAACAAAGCGGCTAAGGGTGTAGGGTCTGAGGCTAGACAGTAATGGAAAGTTCCAATTATGACTCCCCACTCTTTGTTTGTGTGACCTTGGGTAGATTACTTAACCTCTCTAAGCCTCAGTTTCTCCATCTGCGCAATAGGTTTCCTCATAGGATTGTGATGAGAATTACCTAAGATAGTGCTATACAGGCTTTAGTTCCTGGCAGATCACAATGCCTTCACATGCACTGTCTCCTTATCACACCTCTATAAGGGAGAGTCTACTATTGATGCCGAATTTATGAATGAGAAAACTATGACTTAGAGATTGTTAATTTCCAAAGGCCATGTGCCTTTTATCCAGAAGTCTGTCTCCAGAGACTGTTACCTGCTAAATTTTTCCATGAAGGAAGTCAACAAATGTTAAATGAGTGAATAAATTCACACACTCTTTTTCTTAATATACTAATAAACCCACAGCCGTCGAGTCGATTCCGACTCAAAGCAATCCTATAGGACAGGGTAGAACTGCCTCATAGGGTTTCCAAGACTGTAATCTTTATGGAAACAGATTGCCACATCTTTCTCTTGTGGAGTGGCTGGTGGGTTTGAACCGTAGACCTTTTGGTTAGCAGCCGAGCATCTAACCACTGCACCACCACGAACAAATAGAAATGACACACGTTTAGGTTACAGACTTTTATAAATTTAAATAAGTAAGTTTGTTTTGCAAGACTGAGTGAGCCCCTTTACAGGGACAGATTACCCAATCTGCAAGGTATGCACAGGCTTACCTGTCCTTACTTCCTAATCTGCAGTGCGCATTTCACCTGTTTTTCAACACAGGTAGTGAAACCCATGTGAAATTGTGCACTACGGATTAGTAAGTAAACACAAACGCACGTGTACTCTGCTTCCTGTAAGCCCATATGTGCCTTGCTTACTGGTTAATCTTCCCCTGCCCCTGTAGTAAAGCAACCAAGTAACAATTTTATAAACGCAGTGAAGACCCAAGCCCAAAGTAGGTGCTCAGTCAATGACGCTGAACGATGGAGCGACTGAGCCTGACACTCACACCAAGGAGAACAGAGTGCTTCCAGCTAGCAACTGTTTCCCAGTCAGCGTACACCTCTGCCAACCTCGTCCCCCCTGAGGCTCCCGCAGCGTCAGACCCACCAGCCAAGCAAGACGCAGGACTTTCAACGGGTCACTGGCTGCAGATGAGGTTGCTTCTGGGGTACCTTAGGCTCCTGAGGGTGCTCCCTGATGCGGGTTACTTACAGGGTGTTGGCAGAATGAGCTGCCAACAAGGTCACCCAGTTCTTTCATGTGAAATCTCATGCTAGCAACCCAGCTGCCATTTCACCAGCAGAGGGGAAAGGAGACGTCCCAATGCCAGTTCTGCAAATGAAGCAGTAATCCAGTCCCACTGGTATTCGAGGAGCAATCGTCTGTTCTACCTTCAGTCTAGGGATCCTTTCTAACCTCTCCTTGTCTCCTCTTGGGCTGACACCGACCTAAGCATTTCACCCCTCACCGCGTGCTCCTTGTCCC